TTTCGTCTTCAGTTGCGACTTGATTTTCTTCAAAATTTGTCTCTTCATAATAGTTTTGATTTTCAGAACATTCGTCATTTTCGAAATTTTCGTCAGGGTCAGGTAATTCGATTTCAAAGATGTTATTAATTTCTTCGATTGTATATTTAGAAGGGTATTGATGTTGATTTTGTGCTCTTGGTTGCACTGAAACACCGGACATAGGTGTCGGTTTCGAAAATTGTTGATTAGTGTTTTTTCGAAAGGCATTATTGTAGTTTTTGCCAAAAGTTCCTGAACTAGTAGGAAATTTTGTTGGTACATAGTCCTTTTTAGGTTGTATATTAATAGGTTGGGATGGAAACTGTGGTTTCTGTGGTACATACGATGGTTTTTGTGTATATTGAGGTTTTTGTTGAGTATAGGTTTGTTGTAAACGAAATTGTGTGTTTTTATTTTTGAAATTTGAAAAATTTCGATTTTGATTTTGATTAGTAGAATGAGTAAGTCCTCTACTAAATTTCATGTGGTTTTCAGCTAGTTGATAATTTAATACAAATTTGTTAGCTGCATCCAACGTTTGTGGATTTTGAACCATTAAAATTGTTCTTAATTCGGTTGGCGAATTAGTGACTAGATTTTGAATAGCAATAATTTCGTTTTGTTCAATTAAGACATTTGCAACTACCGTTAAATTCGGGTCGCACATGATTTTAGATGTAATTCTTTGAACTAAACCTTTTAGTTTATCCAAATACTCAATAATAGTTTCTTTATTAGTTTTTGTGGTATACATAAGCTCTTGTACCAAATTCTGTCTAGAATATTGATCACCATACTTAATTCTCAACGCTTCTCTTATATCGGTCCATGTTTGTAAATCAGGACGTGCCATAAGAAAATTTCCTGCGTCATTTATTAATTTTGATTTTATGGCGGTAACCACATACTCTTTTTGAGCATTTTCACCAGTATAATAAGTTTGATAAAATTCATTGATTTTTCTTATGAAATATTCTAAATATTGGCTTTCGCCACTGAAAGGTTTGATAAGTTGTACAATTGATTTTAAATTTTCACTCATTGTTACGGTTGATCTTTGATTTTGGTTGTTACTTCTCGAATTAGAATTGTAAAGATGAGTTAAATTAAATTGAGTTAAAAGATTCTCGATTTCTTCTTCAGAATCTGACATATATATTTCTTTGAATTGTTAAAAGAAATTATTTTGAAAATTTAAAAAAATTCAAAATTAAATAGTTTTATTAAAATTAAAATTATAATCAATTAATCAGTCTTGTGCGTTGCTTTTTCTAAAAACTATTTGTTACTTTGGGTTTGTAAATTCGTTGTTACTCTTTATTTTTGATTTCAGTCTTTTCAGCAAACCTTTTTGGAATTGCAAAAGAACAAAAATCTGAATTTAAGTCTTCTCAGTAAATCAAAAATTAGAAATTACAAAAGATCAAAAATCCAAAAATCTTAACTATGGAACACCAATTACAAAATGTATAAAGAGAAAGGTTGTACTTACTAGGCAAAGCTAATAACAGTAGTCTTTCTTCACACGTTGTTTCTTGTTATTCCTTATACTCAGTTAACCAATTGGAAGTGGACAGTATCTGGAACGTTTAATAGCAGCACTGATAATCCAAATTTCACTTTTCCGAAGAATTCACTTTATCGAACTTCCTTCAGTCTTTTGAAATTTTCGCGACGGATTACGACTGTTACAACTCCCGAAACTTAAGCACATCCGAACGACTGCGCCAATTATATTTTCGATTCAGAAACTTGTATTTTAAAAAACATTTATTTTATTGATTAAAATACAGAGGTGACAAAAGAAAATATTCGGATCAAATTGCTACAGGCTAAAGCCAGAAAACAAATGAACGTTCCTTATGGGACGGCATCGGCTTAAATAAACATTTAATGCCGACATAGCAATTTGATGTTTACTTTACAACAATGTATTTAAAAAGTCCTAGAGGAAAGGGGTAAGCACATTAAAGCATATAAAAAATAGATAATTGATTATAAATCAGCATGGCAATTGGTTAATATAACTAGTATAAGTTTATTTTTCCATAAAAAAAAGTCAATACATATATCCTAATTTTTTTTGTTAAAATTTTTGGTTTCTGCGCAACCATTTTTGCCTGCTTTTAAACGTCTATAAAAACACTTGTACATCTTTTGATTTCCCTATAATAAAATCTAGGTAGGATATGTGTGAAAATGTGTTTTATGCATATCAACCATTTTAAATAATCATATGTTAGAGATAATTTTATATTTTTTTAAAAATGGAACTCAGCAGCAGCCAAATAAATTGGATTAATTGGAGAGTAGAATACATGCGCCTAATGGAGGGTTAAGCCGATAGATATGCTTTATAGGTTGAGCGCGTAAACATAGGAATTAAGAAGAGCCAATTTTTGCGTGAGTGTCATATTGCATATTGGCGTCGAAGATAAGGTTGGAGTTTGGAGGGTAACATGAATTGGGAATTTATTCTGAGTTGAATCTTGCTGGTTCTCATACTGACCAGAATTTTCCGGCGAATGTTTGGTTTCAAGGCAATAGTAAATACGAGCATTTTGTTGCATTGACATAAACTCCAAATTTGCGTAAACCTAAAATTATAAAATATCACATGTGATGCGTAATTTAATGGTGCCACTGTTTAAGCGGAACGATCAGGGGATTTAGAAACAAAATCGGAACATTGTGATAAGGGAAAATGCTGTTTATTGCAAAGTCCTCATTTATTTTATGCATTTTGATTGCAAGAATGTTGATATAAGAGTTTGACAATGTGGATGTCGGAGCTTTCACTGGAATTGATTTCGTGGAAACAAACCTTTTCGTGACTGGAAATTTGATGTTTTTGGTAGGTGAGCATATTGTAGAGCCTACTAAGCATCTATGAGCCACCATTCCTTTAATATGGATATCTTAAACTCTCTAAAGCAGCGACATTCTCAGAAAAAGGTGTCTGAAAGGGATCTTAGTTTTAGAGTTATTTTCAGCAATTGCTGTATTAGTGACTGGTGTGTCCAATTCAATATAAAGCAGCTAAGATTCTGGTATTACAATAAATATCCGTCAATAATTTTTCCCAGTAGCGTCCGGAAAACGCGTTTACACGCACCGGTATGCGTGCGGAAAGTACCATTTTTCCGCACAGCGTGCGTAGAAAAATTTTTACTGCACAGCGTGCGCGAAAAGAGTTTTTTACGCATGCTGTGCGCGATTTTGTTTTTTATTTGAAATTTTCTCTCTATGTAATGCTTCTCAAAAATTTTAGATTTTTTCGAAATTTCGCCAACGCTTTTTCTCTTCAAGAAAGCTAAGGGCTGAAAGGTACTGAAAAATATCGACATCTTCAATAATGAGTATTATACCATAAATAATAAAGGATAACGCACACCTAGCATGGAATTTTTGGGCTCTATGGATTTTGCTCATTTTTTGATATCTTGTAGAGGATTTAATTGTTAACAACCTTTAAATGTGTCGAAATCTTGTAGGTATTATGGTCTTTGAGATATGAGCGTTGAAAGATGAACTTTTTTTCGACTTTTTGTGTAGATAGTATACGAAAAACTGGTGTTTATCAGTCAAAATTTTGACAGGTCGACATATTTCACGTCACTAACAAAAGTCAACATAGGCTAAGGCCGGGGCCGCACTGGCGCCAATATTGACCCCAGTGCGGTCCCGGCCTTAGGTAACCTATGTTGATATTGATTTCTAAGTGTCGTAAAATATGTGAACCTGTCAATATTTTGACTGATAAACACCAATAGCACCAGTATCTCGTATACTCTCCACACAAAAAGTCGCAAAAAAGTTCATCTTTTAACGCTCGTATCTCAAAGGCCGTAATACCTACAAGATTTTGTCCCATTTAACTGTTGTTCAGAAATAAATCCTCTATAACATGTTAGGTGTGCGTTATCCTTTTACTTACTGATAATGTTCTGTTGTTGAACTTATTGCAATATTAAACTTAATTAAAAAATCTCATATTTGACCATTTCTTTCATATACAGGGTGTTTCACGAACATCGAAACAGCGGCGTTCTAGGGTATTTCAAGGTTGATTTAAAAAAAAAAAAACGCTCGGACACGTCATTTTTGTATTAAAGGGGGAAACTTTTTGACCCATTAGTATTTGGTTTTCAAAAAAAAAAAACGCACTTGTGACGAGAATCAAAATACCTCTAAAACAAGGTACCACTCGACCCATATTCCCTATCTAAAAACAGGGGTGATAGTCACCCCACTTAGGGGGTGCACCCTAGCGAAATACCGATGGGATCAAAAAGTTTCCCCCTTGAAAACAAAAATGACGTGTCCGAGCTTTTTTTTTAAATCGAACCTAAAATAACTTGAAACGTCTCTGTTTCGATGTTCGTGAAACACCCTGTATATGTAGAATATAGGCAAAACAAACAAAAAAACAATATCGCAATTTCCGCACGCTCGTAGGAAAAATGTTGTACCTAACACGAGCATAGAGTATCTTTTCCGGACTTACGGCTTGCACGTACTTCGCTGGCGCGTCGTGCCTGCAAACGCCGTTGCGTGCGGAAAAGTATAACATTCCGCACGGAAAGTTATACTTTTCCGCACTTGTTAGGTAAAAAACTATTACAGCGAATTGATAGTCAAATGCTTAAAACGTGACGCGATATAGTCGTAGTTCGTTTCCACCCGTATATTTAGTTCTAGCCATTCAAGAAAAGCTTCAAAAAAAACGTCGCCTGTGGGGCTTTCATATTTGCTTAATTAAAAAAAAAGAGAATTCCCTTGGTGCACCGTATAGGATCGCGCTAACCATAATCTGTTAAAGTCATCGTATCGTGATGATATCAAGAAAAGGGCCCGGGACTGCTTTATCAGGTTTGTCTCTCTTACGCTTCAAATACTCTATAAAAATATCGACCCTCTAAAGTTTTAATACCGAAAGTTGCTGATGCATGTGAATATTTTATACTGGAATGACTAACCTGGGGTATCTTGAAAAGACGAAGTAAATTGGCCACTTGAATTGAGGTTACACTTGAAGCTGCTCCGACAACTCCAGATATGACTTTGCGCACTTGAGTTTTGTTGCAATGATATTCGGCTCCATCGATATTACTTATGCTTCCTGAAAAAAAAAAAAAAAACATAATATTATGAATATTATTTTTTTCTAAATGGGTAGGTGGTTATTTCACTTTATTCACAAACTAATGCAATTTTCGACCGTCTTAGTTTCTTTTCTCATTGGAAATATGAAGAAACTCGATTATTCCTTGGGCTGAATGAGTTAGATAATCGGGAATTATATTGGATCAAAAACTATTTTGCCTTACTACACAATAAGCCGTCATATCTAGATCATGGGGCAATCAATAGATTGAGCTTGGACATCTTGCGTTTTATCGATCTGCTTGTAAATCCCGACTTGAAAGCAAATTGCACGTTGCCAACCTTATGCTTTCCTTCTAGAATAATAAAAAGTGCCCCGTTTTGGCGGAGGCTTTAGCCAATACGACTATCATTGCCAAACAAGACAAATTTATTCTATTTCATTTCCGATATGAACTAATATATCTAAAACCTGATGTCCTTTTCAGCGAGCATGTTAAATGTCATGCAATGATTCCAATGCCTAAATATTGCAGGCATATTATATACGGCAGAATCGTCAGCAACCTTGAGAGCCTTGAGATATGTATTGACTAGGGAGTCTATTTTCGAAATCATTGTTTTTTCCGATTCGTAGTCAGTTTTATGATTTATGCAGAATGCAAGAAATTACAATTCATTTTACATTTCTGTAAAATTTGTATGGTTCAAGGGACATGCAGGACTGGAAGGACATAGCAGCGAAGGAAGCTATCAGTTGTGAACAGATTGAAGAGCATACTGACCTTCACCAAATAACTTCCTATACCCCAAACTGAAATAGCAATCTTCTGATGAAACGTTTTAAACTATATGTTTCCGACGGACTTCTTATTGTTGAAGTTGAGTGAGAGCAACCTCTGTTCTTGTGATAGGCAATCGGAAGATGACCTAAACTATAGGTTTTTCCCCTGAACTAAGGAGTTTCCTAGGATTATGTTTTTATTATCGAAGATTTGTGGAAGGATTCGCCAATATAGCTGCTCCGCTTCATCGATTAACGGAAGAAAAATCAACATTCAATTGGACCCAAGAATGCTATTCCGCATTTAGAAAATAAAAAGGAGCATTATGTACAAGCCCAGTGTTGTCCTATTCCGATCAGAAGGGCATGTTGATTTAGATGAAGTAGAGTACTACAGCAGAACCTTATCAAAGCCAGAACGAAATTATTGTGTCACCAGAAAAGAGTTGCTTGCCATTGTAAAAGCAGTCGACCATTTTCATAAGTATACTTCTACGGACGTAAGTTTCTGATTCGAACGGATCACGCAGCTCTAAAATGACTTTGAGAAATGAAAACTTCCGAAGGACATCTTGCTAGATGGATTGAGAAAGTGCAGCAATACGATTTCCAAATTAAACATCGACCTGGAAACCTGCATGAAAATGCGGACGCTCTGTAGACGGCCATGTAGAGAAGATTGCAAGTATTGTCAAAGAATCGATATGCATGAGAAAAACACTAGTCCAGCTGTGAGAAGAACGGGTCTGATTGTTGATGACAAATGGACTACCACACACCAGCAATGTGCTGCCCAATGATTTTGCCGTTCTTAACAAATATTATTAATTCATGTCTGCTTGATAATACCTTTCCGACGACTTCCAAGATTGCAAAGGTCAAACCCATACCAAAAAAGAACAACGTTCGAGAATACAATGATCTGCGTCAAAATATTATATTTCCATGTTATCTAAAGTCCTAGAAAATGTGATGGACAAGCAAATACGTGAGCACCTCGAAAAATTTGGAATTCTGCCATCACACCAATTACCTAGGCTTTAGGCCAAGCTACAGTTGTACCACTGCCCTCGCACATGTTACAGATGATATTTTCCAGCAAACAGACATTGGCATAACCACAGCACTTATACTTTTGGACTATTCGAAGGCTTTCGACACGGTGAATCATCAATTCGTCGGTCTCAGGACATAAGGCCCTATATCGTTTTTTACAAGTTTTCAGGAGAGCAATTAAAAGAAAACTAATATCTTCACGCCAATATAATACACTATACTGATTTTTGGTCTCTTTTTTTGGAATTATCAACAACAACTCATGTAAGTTTTTTGTCAAATACCACATTTAAAAATAGAAGTTAACATTTGTGTCTCAATATTCGCCTTTATGCTGCGATAAAACTATTCATATTTCAAGATAGGGCCATGTGTTTTCTCACTTTTTTAACGAAATTACCTGATTTCCAGCTAAGACCCTTGGCTAAAAACAAGTATACACTAAATACAACATATTTATGAACTTAACTCATTTGGGCCCTATCTCGAGATAGGGCCTTATGTCATGAGACCGACGAATTATTCTTAGCAATACTCCACTTCCTAGGTTTCTCGAGTGATTCAATTGCTTTAATGCATATTCATCTGGAGGGACGATACCGATATGTCGAAACACAACAAGGACAATCAGAAAAGAAACATATAAGCAGCGGAATCCCGCAGGGCGCAATATTGGCATCAATCATGTTCTCCATTTACATCTGTCACTTAATCTCGTGTCTGAAAAACTGCAAAGGTCATCAATATGCAGATGATAATCAAGTATAATAATGTCTCATTCTATCCAAAAGACTGGCAACAAGCAAAGACTCTGCTAGAAGAAGATCTACACCAACTCATTACCATCTCGGAAAAGCACAATTTAAAAATTAATCCTGATAAGTTAGTTGTCATGCTATTTGGAAAACAATAAAACACAATGAAAACTACATTCAAAGTGAATATTTCTGGAAATGAGTTTACAATGTTGGACACAGATCTTAGATTCCGAAAGCACGTGAACGAAAACATAAAAAAGGCATAGGTATCTTTCACTGAAATTATTATACCCTCAACGGCACCTTCTTAGTGTGAAACAAAAAATCCAGCTTACGGAAACTTTAGTCCTAAATCATTTTAATTTCGGAGACGTAGTTTATGGACCATGCTTGGACCAAAATGATACAATCAGAATCCAAAAAGTGCAGAAGTCATGTCCTAGAATGATCTTGTAACATTGCAAATGTTACTTGCTTTTTTTATCTAAATAATTATTCACATTTTAATTTTTTATAATTATTCAGTCCATGGCGGCATCTATTGCCGGCGGAATTAATTATTTTATCGGTGACTTCGAGAAGGGCGTGGGCGCTTTCTTTTGTACTACCTTCATCTACTCGACCTAGTACTTCGTTGCTCTTTAACCTCGCTAAAAGTTTTCGAACGTACTACTTTTCACATAACTGAGAGTCGACAGGTTGACAGGTTTTCCTTCAAAATTGTCAAGTGAAGATATGTATTCTGGAAGAGAAAATGGAGAGCCATTGTCTAATCTTGCCTTTGCCCTGAAAAGGTCGACTGTGGCCTAGGGGGCAGCCATCTTCCTAAGTGAAATAATATCGATTACCGTTCTCGTGGAAAAAGTACTTTATCGGCGGTCAGGCATTATTTTAACAAAATAAAATTGCGTATGGCACACTGAGAGAATTAATTTTAGACCATTATAAAAATCTTAATAACCTTAATAAAAATATCGTATAAAATGGGGAACAGAAAAGCGCTGTAGTTACCATTATAAAAGTCACTTTATAAACTACTACTTTGCTACCATTGATAGACCAATTTACTGAAATCGCCTAAAGACCATTAAAAATAGTTTTGAATGGCTAAAAAACGATTTTTTAACTGTCAATAAATATTTGATGATGGTTATTAAATTGTATATTAACCCTTATTATGTCTTTATAAGGGATAATATAAACATTTTAATAATAACAGATGAATATCTTTACCATTAATATATTTTTTTGACCACCAAAAATTCCTTTTATAATCATAGCAAGATAACCTTATAAGGCCCAGTTATACAATCTTGGTTAAAAACAGAGTTCAGCTGAACTCGACTGGTACTTGAACTTCTTTATTTAAAATAAATTGCTGTCAGCTATTAATCAAATTCTAGCTATTTTTGACAGCAATGCATTTCAAATGGGGAAGTTCAAGTACCAGTCGAGTTCAGCTGAACTCTATCTTGAACCAAGATTGTACAACTGGGCCTAAGGGTTATTAAAAATGTTATGGTACTATTATATTGCATTTGGGAAGAGGTAAAAATAAAAGACAATGGGTATTTTTTAATCAAACTTTTATTAATTGTTGATACCTACATATTATTATGGCGACATTAAAAAAATAGAAGCTGCATCTACAGTAATCACATAAACCAACAAAATTTCGAATCGTATATGTATACCTACATAACTACTTAAGTATATAATATAAAAAATACTACTTGGAAAAAGCAAAAGCAGGTAATAAGAGAGTTTTCATTTTTAATTTATATTTTCTCAAAAAGGACACTTGTTTTTCAAAAAAAAAAAGAATGCAGAAAATCCTAGCTTCAGTTGCTTTGTGCAATAATTATTCCAAATCTGAAAATTAATGAAAGCATTGAGGGGGTTATATTTATACCTACTCATAGCTCACCTTCGATAAATGACTATAAGCCCCACTCTAGAAGGGCAACTTTACACGCCATTGTCAGACCAGTGCCAGTGTAAATCCAAAATCCAAGGTTATAAATGATAAATAATTCAAAATTATTTAAATAATTCACCAACGGCACCAACGCAACGCACTAACTAATCAACGCTTACAGCAAAAAATGGCGCGACACGACACAAACACCTGATCACAAATGAGCGGGCTCATGCTACATGCTTGCACGGAAGCAATAATTGGAATGCACAGAAAAATTACAAAATAAACCATTATGGCCGCTTCGGGTTGTTTCGCGAATAGCCGAAGCCAATAACGGCCCGATCAAGTTTATTATGGTTATAACGCACATTTGAAAGACTGAAAATCAACTAATAGTTGTTAAAAAGCGTATATCGATGGTTATGAAGATCAATTTCAAAGATCGTGTGTAGTAACCATATTAAAGTATCTAGCTACTATAGTAAATTCGTAT